GAGTAACAGCAGTAGGTAGTAACAATTGCATTGTTAGTAACAATAGTTGCTGCAAGGGAGTGGTTGTATGATAGCATTTAGGAATGTTCTGTTTGGTCATATTGCAGTTAAGACTGCTCGATAAAAATGCATAGACAATTCACTCCAAAAGGTTCTCTGAAAATAGCAGAATTAGTAGTGACACATTCCTATTATTCTTCTTATTATTATTATTATTGCTACTACTTCGGGTTCAGTCATTTCGTTGACATGAAGATGGTCAAATTTCAAATCTAAGTTGCTTGTCCATTTCAAATACTGTATTAGAAAATATATTTACTCCATCCGTGGTTGTCTTTTTAAAATTGAAGTATTTCCTTTTTTTTTCTTTTTTTTTTTTTTTAAGCATTTCACCCCCAAGCAAGGCAGGATGCAACTAGTATGGAAGGGGTTTACAGAGTGGGAACGAGATTAAAGAGGTGCGAAGGAGGAAAGGATGAAGAGAAGGACAGGGAATAGGTCAGGGCATCTGGAGATGTCGATTGACATTACATTTGAATATTTGGAGAATATAGCTATCAGGGAAGCAAGTAATAGGAAGGGAATTCCACAGGCGGGAGGTGCGAGATATGAAGCTATATTTCCGCTATTATTATTATATTACTTTCATATCATGTTATGTTTAGGAGCCTTGTTTAAAACGCATTCCTATTATTATTATTATTATTATTATTATTATTATTATTATCACTTTGGGTTCAGTCGCTTCGTTGACATGAAGATGGTCAAATTTCAAATCCAAATTGTTTCAAATGCAGTATTAGAAAATATATTCAATTTAAATAGAGAAACTTAAAAATGATTTCAAAGGGTCACATATAACGTTAAAATCCTAAACATTTGACATCGAAGTAAAAAGAAAGAAAAAAACTGATTATTTTAATTTGTTTTAGCATTTCATTGCACAGCCATACACAGCTGAAAGCAAGAAAGTTTGACGGACATGAAACTGTTGATAAGTTTTTCTTCTTTCCTTTCTATGTTTTTTTCTCTTGTCTCCAATTATTTTTTAATGCTAAGACTCGGTTAAGTGTTGTCCAGACTGAGTGGGAGGGCAATTTATTATTTCAATGTCATATTGCTTATGTATGTTTGTGTTTGTGATCTTGTATGTACATTAAATGACTCGAACACAAGTAAGTCACTGACACATATCACAAAAATACGCATATAGATTACATCTGCGCATGCAAAGTCACATGCAGGCAGAGTGTGACGGATAGAGAATCACTTCTTCTTTTGTGATATAGATTATTATTATTATTATTGTTGTTGTTGTTATTGTTGTTGTTGTTGTTATTTTATTTTTTTTGGTTTCTGGTGTATACTCATTTATTTCCGGGTCACGACTAGGGACCTAAGGTCAGAAAGGGCAACATGATATTTTTCACTGAACTGAAGGTGTGGGCTTTACTCGTGAGAATTTCTTTTTTGTATTTCTTTAAGGCATGGGCTTCCAGGAATCCCTTCAATGAGTCTATTGGAATCTTTTCCAACCAACCCGAGGGCTCCAACTACAACAGGAATTTTTGATGTTCCCATGTGCCACATTTTTGAGATTTCGATATCAATGTCCTTGTATTTTGAAAGATCTTTGAAGATCTTCAAAGATATATTGCAGTCTGCAGGGACTGCCATATCAATAAGGAGGCACCTTTTTTTGTTTGTGGTCTTTAATAACAATATCTGGGCGGTTGGCTTTGATTGTTCTGTGAGTGTGTATTGGGTAGTCCCATAGAATTCCCTTTGGTCCTATCTCCGTGGTGTTCATACCATTTTCTTTCAGTTTCCTTTCTGTAGAAGTTGCAGATTTTCCAGTGCAGATATTGGCCCACTCTGTCATGCCGGGTTTTATATTCAGTGGGTGCCAATATCGTGCAACCTGATACAAGATGATCAATCGTTTCTAGATATTTATCACAGAATTTGCATTTTGGGCTAACACAATATTTTAGTATATGTGCTTGATAATTCCTAGTTATTTTGGGCTTATTATTGGTCCCCTGTTAGCAAGCAAGGATAAAACCTTCAGTTTCAGCTTTTAACCCTCCACTACGTAGCCACTGATGGGTACGGGTTTTGTCTACGTTTTGGCAGATTATTGGCCATGAAGCTGTTTATCTTGCTATTTTTTCTGTATCTGGTCGGTTGCATTTGTCTTTGCTTTCTTTTTGTGCTTTACTTGTATTTCTTCGCCCATTTGAAACTCTTATTATTATTATTATTATTATTATTATTATTATTATTATTATTATTATAGAGCAGCAGGCCAACAAAATGCTGCTGTGATACAAATAAACGAAACCCAATCTAACAATAATGGCAATTGGTTTGATAAGCGTATAACACACATGTATTACAGACAAATGTATGCGGTATGATTGCCATGCATGTGAATAACATTATTATTATTATTATTATTATTATCATCATCATCATTATTATTATCATCATCATTATCATCGTTATTATTATTATTATTATTATAGTTGAAAACTCGTTTTTGCTTACATATTTCATAGATTTTGTTGATTACAGTAATAAATATTATTTCAGTATTGTCACATTCCTTTCTAATGATAACTTTACAAATATTGATTTTTCAATTGCATGAAAGTAAAGTTTAACTTAAAGAGGTTAACATATTGTCAAATTTACATACCACTGCCTTCCGTAAAATTCAATACAATTACTATAATAAATGCAAAATAATATATTCGTGTGTTTGTCCGTGTGTAAAACAAAAGTTAATTTCCACTACTATCTTGCTTATATTGTCTTATTTCCTTAACTGAATATCTAATTTGAGTAGATTTAAATTTCAGCACTTCTGCAGTACGTCATATTTTGATATCTTTAACCAACAATTACAATATAATATGTATGTGTATGCATCTATACATTATATACACACACACGTATATATATATATATATATATATATATATATATATATATATATTATATATGATTTTAAGATCAAATGTAGATCAGATATGAATAGGAATCCGATAAGATGAAATATATATATATATATATATATATATATATATATATATAAAACTAAAAAAAGACAAAAGTTTCGACAGCATTTTTATCGGTTTTTTCTTATTGGTTTTCGTTTTTTATTTCATTTGGTCAGTTGGAGAACTTTGTATTGGTTTTACCAATACTTCAGTCTGTTTAACTTTAACATACAACTACCTTTCATAAAATTCATTAAAAAATTTATAGGGCAAATGAGAATATGCAAGGTGTGAAATATTGAGGAAAAGAATATCGAACAAAAGTTCAATTTTACAATCTATTGAATAAAAGAACGACTTCCAAAATTTGGCAAGCAAAAAGTTCATTTTCAGGAACTTATTCCGTTGAGATATTAAAATAGTGCAATACAGAGAAACTCGCTAACATCTTTTGATTATGAAGTTTGTTTTATTGATTTCCGTGTGTGCCAACAAATTAATTTCAGACATGCCTCATGTATTTGTGAAGCCTAGAATTGTTGGTCAACAAATTAATTCCAGACTTTCCTCGAGTATTAGTCAACAATCTAATTTCAGACTTGCTTAGTGTATTGGTCGTATCCGAATTTTTGGTCAACAAATTAATATCAGACTTACCTCGAGTATTGGTCGAGTCTGTAATTTTGGTCAACAAATTAATATCAAATTTGTCTCGAGTATTGGTCGAGTCTGTAATTTTGGTCAACAAATTAATTTCAGACTTTACGCGAGTATAGGTCGAGTCTGGAATTTTCTTCAACAAATTATTTTCAGACTTTCCTTAAGTGCTGATCGACTCTAGAATTTTGGTCCACAAATTAATTTCAGATTTGTCTCAAGTATTGGTCGATTCTAGTCATATTTAAATTATAGTCTATCCATTACTCGTTGGAAATTATTTGATGAAATATCCTTATTAATAATTTTTTTTTCTATTGTTTTCCTTTTAATCATTATTTTGGATTGATGCTCCCAGATTATTAAGATAAATAAAATTAAATGAATAAACAATATGGCAAAAAGAATTGGCAATAAAATACATGGCAATATCTCTAAAGGCTTTCAATTCTGCTTAAACGTGAGTCTTCAGCGTTCAATGTGATGTCTATATAAGACGATTCCCTGCAACATGAATTGTAGGTTCAACTTTTATCTCAAACTAATTCTTCACTTCAATTGTCTACTCAAATTCCGCCAAAAGTCAGCTAAAAGCACGAGACAAGTCTGAAATTAATTTCTGGCAAAATTCCAGAATCCAGCAAATATACAAGTCGAGACAAATGTTAACTTTTTTTTAAACTAAAATTCCATTAGATGTTAACGTGACTCGATTAAACTTGTCTTTCTTCCCTAACGTAAATTTTTTTTTCCTGTTCTTTTCATTTCAGATGAGTTGTAGTTGGGCATTAAACAGATATCGTGTGGGATTTTAAAATGCGATTCTAAAAACAAATATACAAAGTTAGATATACCGTAAGTTTTATTCTGATAGTGTCTTCTCTTGGATTTCTCATCTGTGGAACTTTCTGACATCTTATGGATTTTCTTCCGAATGCGATCTTCAAAAATTAAACTGAAACGTCACCTGTCTCCCTGAAACCTGTTCTTTTATTATCCTTTCTCCTCAGTAATGTTTTCTCAGTTTCTTTCCATCTCAGTAACCGCTTGCATCTTACTGGCTTTATTGCCTTTAATCCATACAAGATGCAATTCCCCTCACAGGACCGAGTAAGGTCTTTTTAAAATAAAAAATAAATAAGTGAAATAATTCAATAAATTCGAAAATCAAACTTGAAACCAAAGCTGAATAATTCTTAATAGGATCAACTGTTTTGGGTTATCAATATTAAATGAAACAAGACTTGTTCTTTCTGTAAAAAGATGCCCAAATGTTTACCGATATTAAAGAAACTGTTGTGGTGTCCTCCTTCTAAAGAGTCTATGTTGGACTCTTCC